CTCCTCAGCTATCCCTAAGGGAAAGGCCAAAGTCTGAAAGAATAGACAAGGCTTYAGCTGTCTGCTATAATTGTCACCRGCCTGGACACTTTGCAGGTGAATGCAGATCGAAGAAGACTGTGACCCCCATCCTCTAAAGCTCCTTCCTCCAGGATCGTAGATGAAAAATATTCTAAACTGAAGGATAAGTACAAGAAGATGAAGAAAAACCAGCAAAAGTCTAAAGGTCTTGTTGCTGAAGAGCATGACTGGGCTGAATCATCTGATGAATCATCTTCTGATGAAGAAGATAAAGCCTACGTCTGCATGATGGCCATTAATGHWGATGAAGGATCTTCTGAAGCATCCACATCCTCAGAGCCATCTTCTTCTACTCAGGTATGTATCCTGAATGAACCCTCTTCTTCTTCTTCTAGTCTTTCTGTACTAGATACTCTGACGGTTGACCTTTACAATGCCCTCAATGGCAAATCAAAAGCTGAAATGCTTAATGTTGATCTTCATGAACAATTGAAGATTTGCCATTCTAAGATCAAAGAACTGACCTCTGTTGAGGAAAATCTTAAAGATCAGGTTATTGTAAACCAAACCATCACTGTTGAATGTGAAAAGGCTATCGCTGAGCGTGAGCGAGCCATCACTGAACTCAAGGCTGAGAAAGCTATCATTGAAAGGTGGTGTAAAGCTTCTTTTAAAGCCTCTGAGATCTTTAACGCTCAGATTCCCGCCAAGACAAAGACTGGTCTAGGATTTTCCTATGATCAGRAAGATAGTGTTGTAGACAGGTCCATGCTCAAGTTTGGTACTTTTGTCTCTTCTTTTCCCAACACTTCTTCCTCTCAGTCCTCCTCTTTATCTGAGAGTCATCTTGAAGGAACTCCTTTGAGTTCTGGATGCAAAGACAAAGGTAAATCCRTTRTCAYARCATCTTGTCCTAAGAAGTCAAACAAGTCTAATAGATCTAGGTCTATTCTTTCAGCTTATAAAACTTCTTCCTCAGGGACTAGGAAATCTGAATCTCTTCAGAAATCTAAGTCAAAGCTCAAGGTGAACTTCTCACCTAAAGAATCATGTTCCTCAAAAGTTCCTCCTAGAATTAATGAGAAGCGTATTCTTGGAGCTGGTCCAGTTTCTAAATTTGATCTTCTCTATCAATATATATTTTAAATTTGAAAACTTTGTGTTTGTATTCATCCCCCCCTTCTACAAACTGTTTCTTATCTTGTAGACCCTTTTGGGACCAACAAGTGTACTATCCTCCCTTCCTCTCCCCTATATAAAAAGGCATTGGGGAGCCATTTTGAGATGTGCCCAACACCATCTAAGACATTACTCTCTATGTGTGTCTCTTCTCTTTTCTTAATTAATATTATGTTTTTTTAATTAAATGCTTTTTAATTTAATGTCTTTAATTTATGTCTTTAATTTATGTCTTTAATTTTTAGTATTTTACTTTCTTGTACTTGTAATTTAGTTTTATATTAATGCAATTTATATTTCAGCATTATTTTATGTCTTTAATTACTTGCATTATGCCTAGCTAAATTACTTGTATGGGTGTAGGTGTGAGTTTAACTTAGGATGTTTATATAATATTTGGGTGTTTTTATCTTTTATCACTTCGTAACTTGGTCACTTAAGACGGTGCTTAAAATGCGGATAAGCTGATCACTTTGAAGTGTTAATATTAGATCTTAGACCCAGAGATGGGCGGATCCGAAATACGGCTTAAGTGATGCACAATGAACTCAAGAGGGTATTTGAATAATTACGTGGAGACGCGAATTTTGCATGCATCTAACTACGGGTTAAGCAATAGGTATTTTTATCACAAAGAGATTTGGGTAAGAATCGCATTCCTTTTACTTTTTAGCTAAATCGACAAGTTCCGAAGTGGTAAATGCAAAAACCTTGTGGAATTTTATGAGTCCCGGTTATAAAAATTCACTTTCGAGAGATCGGAACTTTTATAAACAACTCGTAAAAGTCTAACAATTTTATTGTTAATTTTATCTTAAGCAACGCTTGCACCCATGCCCATCATTTAATATTAAAAGTTTATTAGCTAGTCGGTCTTATTTCGGTCTTTTTATAAACAAAAATCCAACTTTATTTTACATATCGAAACTCGTGCAAGAAGTTCATGAAAAATCTCTAAATCTCTAAATCTCTACCTTCTCTGTGGGAACGATCTCGGTACTTTGTACCACTTTATTACTTGCAAGCGATCATAGTGTCGGCGTGCTCTTGCACCGCCACTGTGGGCACATTCTGCCCACTAGGTGAACACGAACGATCCCGCTCCTGCCAAATATACATATTAGTCTAAATGTATATTCATATATGATAAAGATACAAGCATGAATATGGTGTATAAAATTATAGACTTTTGATGTTTGGTAAGATCGGTAACAAATATCATGAAGTTATAGATCTTGTAGCGTATGATGTACAAATGTATGTTACATGACATCGGTGGCTGTATTTTTGACGTGTATGTATTTAGAACTGAGGTGTCATCGTATAAGTGGTTCTTTTTTCCTTTTTGATTTTATTTTCCTTTTTATTGGGATTTGTTTGTTCTAATTTAAATGTCACGTGTACAGATGCACAAAATTTGGCCAAAGATCGAGTCCATAATCAGTCTCAAACCTAAGGTCCACTTGTCATAACCAATCCTTTACTACTTTTATACTTAGTCTTTGGGCCATGACCCGTCATGGCTTAAAAAGCATAAATGAAGTGGGACCTATGGTTTCTAACTCATGTGTATACACATGGGTGAGTGTAATTGTATATAGATGTATGTATAATGTATTATGCCATAACCAGTACCTGGCTCGAGCCCTAGTGTTGGTCTGATTTATACAACCCCAAAACGCTACAGTAATTAGGAAACCACGCGAGTATACATGTTCTCACAATATTGTTTTAAAACAAGTAATAACGATAAGAACATCAGATATCCATCGATGGGGACAGGAAAGTGAGGATTTATGGTAAGTCAAACTTAAAGTGAAATTTCAGATGGTGAATTCGAAACAATATTTGTCGGTTTGAGTTAACCGGCTACTGAGATATAACAATACGTAAAAGAAAGCATGGGTGCAATACCTTGTTGGAATTTCAACATCAGAGTGAGGTATAAACACTATTAGATTGAATATTTCGAAGTGCAAATTAGACCTTTTACTGGTAGTACCCAAGATAAGTACAAATCCAACCATAGTACATATCTTACATTTCTTTCCATATTGCAACCTATGAAGGTTGTTGCACCTCTTTGTTGCTTCTATAACACTATTGGTCAAAATATTTTGTGTTGTCTTAATTTTAAGTCCAACTCATTTAAGTAAAATAACATGTGTCAATTAGTCAAAGATTACTAGATGAAATACTAAATCCAAATGTGAATAGTTGAGTAAATTATTATGGCAAAAATAATTATCCATGAACACACGACTTGTTCTTCCAACCTTCACTCACACCTAAGCTAAGGTTTTTAGTCCGACATTACTGAAATTAAAGACTTGAATGTAAATAATATGAAAGTAACTTGCTAAAAAATGTAAATGTGCAGAAAATATATAAAATGTGAAAACAATAACAGTTGCTGCAACAACAAGCAGTAACCAAAAGATTAAGAATTTGAAATTGAAACTAAATTATTATAGAGAGTCAGGAGAGATGAAGACTTAGAAAGGCTTGATCTCACCTTCGTGATCAACACTGCTGGCTCCATAGAGGAGGACCAAAAGATAATAAAAAGTCATTCGGGACACATTGTCCAACATGTAATATCTAAGCAGAAAGTCAACTTCTAAAAGTACTAGACTGTCATTTATCTATTTTATCAGCTTGGCTAAAACTCCAACTTTAATTCAAAAAAAGAAATTTGTCTTCAACTAAATACTTGTAACTTAACTGAGGCCATGTTTGTTTTTTTGAAATTTCCTCTTAATCACCTCTTAATCTGAATTGTTTAGACATTTCCATTTTCAGACCGTTTTTTTCAAAATAAGAGCTTAAATGATGTATTTTTCCTCTGAATTTTTAAGTGATAAACGTATCACTTAATAGCTCTTAAATCAACTCTTTCTCGTTGGTGGCCCATCTTATAATGATCCACGATTCTCTTTACGACCAACACAAAATCTGAAGGTGACGAAGAAGATCACCATCTCCTGCTGATATCCCAATCTCCTCTTCTGCGAATCTCATGATGAAATTGTAATCGACGGATTACATTCAGATTCCATAATACAACTGATTTCAACTCCATCCACCATAAGGAAAACTCTGAATTTTTTTGTTATTAGACTAAAACCTTGAAAGAAAGAAATACAAATCCATGTTGAAAAAGAACATGAATAACCAATATGACTGATTCAGATTTCAGACGTAAGAACAAGCAGTCTGACTGATTCAGATTTTAGACTTCAGTATCACTTCATAAAAATCAGAAGTGAAATCAGACTTCAGACTTCAGCACCTCTTAAAAAACAAACGCCACCTAAATCATTAACCGAGCTAGTTCATGTGTTGCGACACAAGTTGTTGCACCAAGTCAACATATTACTTTTCTTTATCTCTTTCAACATTAATATTCTATAACTTTGCTCCAGATTAAATAAAAGTAAAATAAAAAAGAAAAGGCTCAATTTATGACTGGGATAATAAAATTAAAATAAAATGAAATCCTTAAATATGCTAAAAGTGGTTATGTCGTTATACTTATCACCTTGCTAGTTCTTTTCATAACATGTCTCCTAACCGATCCTAACCCAACATTTCATAACCAATTGTTATTGTCGGTTTAAACCTTGTCCCATCATTTCCAGATGTTCCATAATCAATTCCCGACCAGGCTCGGGTTTCAAGTCCAGATGACCGTCTTTAGACTTATGTGTAATACATAATGTCAAATGTCGATACAATTGGTCAAATGTTTGAACTAGAATTACCATATTTGTTTATATCATAATTATAAACAAAGCAATGTTAGTTGCAGTTTTAATAACACATACAAAATGCATCTTTTATTGTATGTGTTTTAATTTGCATGTAAACCTTTCATCTGTCTCCAGAGATAGAAAGACTGTCTCTATATCAAAAAACTATCTTGATACCTGCGAAAGGATGATTACACCACTATGAGTTGAGAGCTAACATGTTAAATTGTGTATTTGATTCCAATTTAACATGTGAGGCAGTCATGAACTTCTTTGGTTTCTATAGCGCAATTGGTGACCAGTATTGCTAAGGTCACAATACAAACTAATGCTGATAAATTGCGACGTTAGTAATTCTGACCACCTACCGATGCCCGAAAGGAAGTCAAAAGACTTGTAGATCATAGTTCAAATGGAAGTGTTGTTTGTTTGACAGCATCTCATCCACATTACTATCAACCATACTAGCCCTCAATCAGTCTTGTTCCTGAATCACAACAATATCACATAAACATATCAATTCTGTCTTTTCATTTTTCTAATTCCGGAAAATAAACTCTAGAAGTAGGGGTGTTCGCGGTCTGGAGTTTGAACGGTTTAAGCCTTTTTTCAATAGACCAGACTGCAAGGGGCAGTTTGAAATGAAATGCCTAGATCGGTCAAAGCAAACCACAAAAATACGGTCTGATCCTACCGATTTATGCGGTTTGGGTTAATTGTGAACTTTAAAGGTTAAACTATAAATTAAAAAAATTAAACCCATACATATAGCATAAAACTGTAAATGTTATAATTTTAAAAGGATTATAATATAAATATTAGCCCAACCTATAAATCTAAAAGCCCAATACTAAATTAAAAGGATATGAGATACTGAGCCCAAATGTATTATATATATTCGGTTTAGACTGCCAAAAAACCGCTCAAACAGTAGACTGGACCGGACTGCCAAACCACAAAAACGGTTCGGTTTAGTTCGGTCCGACCAGTTTTCGCGGTCTATTGGTTTTTTGAACACCGCTACCTAGAAGAAAATGGGAAGATAATTTGCTCTAGCTACTTGGTATCATGTGGCCAACCAACAATAATATTCCTCATGAAACTGCATTTTGCAGAGTGTGATGATGTAGAAAATATGAGTTTGACAGTAACTTCAAATGCAAATCAGTTTCTTGCAGAAGCATATCTGGAGCCTCTGACAATGGGAAAAATTATTAGAAAGGAATACTGTTGTTTGATTGCCGATTAGACGAACACAAAATGACAGAAACATTTCTTTTTACTCTTGATCAATAGCAGGTTAACTTAACATGACATGATGGAAGCTTACATAGCATGCGAAACTTCAAACAATTTAAAATAATTAAAAGATGGATCACAACATACAGTTGTTTTCTAACCAACTTTTTATCTAACACATGTAGAGAAATTAAATTATGAACTATGAGTCTACGATGTGTTGGTACACATCATAAAGTAAGTCTCAATTGGTTAAGGGAAATGGAAAAGTTGTTCAATTGGTCTAACTTCTAATAAGAGTGTGTTTGGATGTGCTTCTAAAGTGATTATCCAGTTTTACCTGTTTCACAAAAACTGATTCTATTTATGGTCAAAATAATCAACTTTGGGGGGCTAGATTTTAACCCGATACCTTGTTGTAGAATCTCCACCCCATTTCCGCTGAGACAATTCAACGGAGACAACATTCCCTATGTTGTCAAACCAGAGAATACCAATGTTCTTTTTTTCCGGTACAAGGCACCAAGAAACAGATTTTACACACGGGCACTTATCATAAGCAATGTTTTAGATACAACTGTAACTCAATAATGAAGCAAAAGGTCGCATATTTTAATGTTTGGCTATCCATAAGGATGAAGAGCACTTAAACTGCTCATAAAGAAATCATAATATTCTAAAAACAAACAGGCATAGAGTTGGAGGTAATTGTAGAAGTACCTGGACCATGTTCGTCCATAATGATCTTATTCTCCAAAGTCTGAGCAGCTTCCACCATTCCCATGGCTTTGTAGGCATGGATCATGGTAGCAAGTGTAATGTTATCTGGTTCACAATCTCTATCCTTCATTGATGAGAACATTTCATTCATTCTTTTCACATCACCAGCCTGGCCATAAGCATTAATGATGCTGTTAAAAAATGTTGTATCAAGAATCACATCAGAATTCTCTATTTGTCTCATAATTGAATCAATCTTCTGCATAAGCCCAGCTTTACCATAAGCACTCACAAGAGAACAATAGGTAACCGCATTAGGCTTCATTCCTAGATGCTTCATTTTCAGGAAAAACTCCTCCATTCTCTCGACATTTCCAGCCCTTTTGAACGTTTCAATGACTATGTTGAAAGTAACAGTAGTTGGGGGAATGAACCTTTTGCTCATATATTCCATAACTGACCCCATTTTGTCATACATGCGCGCTTTCCCATATGACTTGATTAGGATATTAAATGTCATCACGCTCGGTTTTATCCCCATCAGTTGAAATTCATCAAACCATTTCTCCATTTCTACAATCATCCCTGAATTCCCATAAGCGCCAATAATTGAATTAAACGTGAAAACATCAGGAAGGCAAGTGCCATTTTCAAGCATATCTGTCAACATACTCTCCATCGATTCAAACAATTCAGCCTTCCCATATCCATCGATTATTGTATTGTATGTGACAGTGCTGCATTCAATTCCCAAATATGACATGTCAGCCAGAACATGCTTAATCATATCAAAACGGCGAAGCTTAGTGCAACAATTGATAAAGATTGAGTAGGTATATACATCAGGTTTGCAGTCAAGTATCAACTTCATATCATCAATGATTTCTAATGCCTTGTCAAGGAGGCCAGAGTAACCATAAGCACTAACAAGTGCAGTATAAACGTCAACGGTGGGTTTGAGCCCATCCTGCAACATCACCTCAAAAAGCAAGCCAGCTTCTTTGGGCTGCCTGCACTTGCCTAGCATAATCAATAGCTTTGTGTACGTTTGGCATCTCGGCTCATACCAATGTTGATTACGAAGAAGATCAAATATCTAAACATGATTGAATGCACCATCACGTCAGTTAAGCATTAAGTGCAACTCTCTGGGTACATTAAATGACAAAAAGCTTATAGATCTAGTTTAGAAGTTAAAAGACTTGTAAAAGGTGAACACTATGTGAATTCACATACAGACTCCTGCAAGGCTGCAAGTGCTTTAGGGATTCAACAATTGTTTGATAAAACAGCAGATGGCCAAAAGAAAGGAGACAAGTCTAGAATCTGGATGTTCATCTTAATGGCTCTAACCCGACTTTTAGAAAGACATACACTGTACACAGAATAACCATCTGTAAGTAGTAAATATTGTTTTAGCTTATAAAAATGGTATTATCCGAAAGTGCATTTCTCTTCAAATTCATATGTGAGATTGTACTTGTGTAGTCAGGCTCTCTACTCTTGAGCATAAACCCTACTTCTAGGTTTGACCGTTTGAGTTTGCTTGGTCTGGTTTTGGATTACATTTGTGTAGTCCACATTTTCCTCTGTGTCTAATCTCCATCATGGATTGATGGGTATAATCTCAGTTTATCCTGACATCTTCCTACGAAATCCAACAAAACCCAATAAAGAAAGCATGTTTTGCAACAAAATGATAAATTTCTATAAACCATATATTCATAAGGATTAGTGGTGAATTATGTATCAAAACTATAAATAAGTTGCTAAGGCTTTAACTTTTGAGAAGGCGCAGGTTTATTATGGAATGGACGCAGTACATAAAAAAATCCTACTAACCTTGAGAGCAGACTCCCAGCGTTTATGTCGGATGGCATTGTCCAAAGCTTCCAAAACCAGTTTTGGCGAAAAGCGGTTATGCTTGACAGTGGCGGAGTTGGCTTTTCTCTCAATTGCTTCAATGGCAGCTTCTGACCTTAATATATGGGACAAGTGCTTCTGGGTCGACTTTTGGATACCTTGTGAAGAAGGGACTTGAGAGTTCTTCTTGGCTGATGCAATAAGCAAAGACGATGACTTTGAAAAGGGTTCTGGGCGTTCATTCAAGAATTTTATCAAACAGTTGGTGGACGAATTAAGCAACGTAGACGACAGGTTCTGCAAGTGACCAAAGTCGTAAGTGGAGAGCTCCATTTGGCTAGAAAATGATATGGGTGCCAGAATTTAGAAAAATTGCTGGGGATTGATCCAGCATCCAACTTGGAACAATCCTTTGTATGTGTGACTTAGAAACTTTATATCTTGGGGAGTACAACCATGGAACTATACAGATGGACTGTTGATTTTGACGATTATTCACGATGAAATGCCGATGACTTATCCGATTTGATAGACCATCTCGAATGCCAAAATCATTTAAATGCAACAGTAAATTTCACACCATATGATCAATTGAATTATCTATTCAACTTATTTTTAAATTCAAGGACAAAATGCATAAAATAACAATTTATTTTCATAAATTTCTTTATTATAGCATTGTACTATTAGTTTTTCTTATTTCATAAATTTATTTATTATAGCATTGTACTTTCAGTTTTTCTTATTACATCAATGTACTTTCAAACTATTTTTTATTAGAACAATGTACTTTGAAGAATTTACCCATTATAGCATTGGGTAACCTTTTGATTTAAATTTACCCATTATATTAGGTTTTCATGCCACCTCAATTGTCCACATAAGCTATCTACATGTATTATAATGATGTGACTTTCTTGCCATATCATTATACTTTCAAAATTATTTTATTATAGCATCTACTAGTTCTTATTAAACACTATATTTTTAATTTTAATATTTAGATATTTTACATGTTATTTAATAAATGTATTAAATGAATTAAATTTTTTTTTAAATTATTCATTAATATATCAATATCAATAAAACTAGTAGAACACAACTTATCTCGCTAACATTTTTAAAAAATATGTGTTTTTTGAAAAAAGGAAAATAAGAATTGTTCATTTTTTTACCAAAAAATATTATCTTTTAAATAATATATTATATTTATTAAAAAACTTTTTACTTGACATATAAATATATTAAATTAATTAGACTTTTTTGAATTATTTATTAATATAACAATATTAAAAAAATATAGATAACAATTTATTTCGTTAATATTTTAAAGAGAACTTTAAAAGATATGTATTTATTTGAACAACATAAAATAAGAAAAATTATCTTTTTTACAAACAAAATATATCTCGAAAATAATGTTTCATATTTATTTAATAAATATTTTATTCTAAAAATATTTAATTTGAATGCAACTTAATAAGAAAAAGTAAAAAAAATTAAATGTTTTTTTAGATCATAGCAATGAAAAATGAAAATCACTAATAATAATTTGAAATAAGTTTTTATTTTAATTTTAGTTAAGTCATCAAAATGATGTGWCATCCACATCACCTCATTAAAGTCACACAAACAAAAAAGTTAAAGGGTTAACCGGTTTAAAAGGTAACATGTTACCCATTGCTATTATGGGTAGATTTTTTAAAGTACAATGTCTTAATAAAAAATAATTTGAAAGTACATTGCTGTAATAAAGAAAAACAAAAGTAGAATGCTATAATAAGAAATTTTATGAAAGTAGGTTGTTATTTCATGCATTTAACCCTAAATTTAAATGCCCTTTTTAGATAACTATAAGGATATTCGCGCAATACAACGAGATAAATCTCAATTTTCATGTTTAGTTTTATTCTTTGTCTTTATCGATATAATACGATTTTATGTGGTTTTGAGAAAACGATAATATTTTTATTTTTGAATGAAATATAAATTTGAAAAAATAAATCGATATTATTATCAAATCAACTATTTAATAGTTTTATTTTTTGATGTAACTTCTTTGATTCAATTTTTTATTATAATTTAATAACAAAGTACTTTATTTTTATTTTAACAATATAATTTTTGATAAAGATAATAATTAAAAATTATGTTAGAACTTAATGATTATCTTAATTATATTTTATATGTTTTATATTTAAAATAGATGTTTATCCTGCATTTGATTATGTTTATCTACAGTTAGTTACACGAATTTAAAAGTGAAGCTTTAATAAGTTGTACTTACGTAAAATTACTTGTACTCTTGAATTTTAAGTAATATGCATCAATAAACAGTACTTTATGCATAAAAAATGGTTTTTAAGAGTTTTTATCAAATGATTTATAATATAGTATAGATATAAAACATGAGTTCAAATGTTAACATAATTTTATTATGTTAACTTTATAAACTTTTTCAACCAATCATAATTTATTTTAGTATTAGGTTCTACTCTATCTAACTATTTAATATTAAGAATATAAGTAATTTTCTTCATCTTGTAACTCTTATATCATTAATTGAGAGTTACAAGATCCATAAAATCTCATGATTTTTGCATTTTTAATATTGATCTTGTGATTTTTTTTTCATTTTTTAATATTGATCTTTCATTTTAAATAGTTATAAATTTGTGATTGGTGAAGGAGATCCGCTAGTCTAATGTTTGTTATCGTTCAAGCAATTATGGATAAAGAGATTGAAAAATAACACGACAATATTGAAAAAGTTAAAATTGTTTATGGTGACAGTCGAAGTTCGAGATCGGGAAGTGAACTAAATAATCAAAACGAGTGTCTTGGTAAGTATTAACACAAATTGACCTATATGACACAAATTGACATATATACACCCATATGAACACAAATTGACATATATGAACACTTGTGACAATTATGAACATAAATTGAACATATATGTGAACACCTATGGCAATTATAAACATAAATTGAACATATATATGAACACTTGTGGCAATTTTGAACACAAATTGAACATATACGATTTCTATTGTTTGTAACCGATGATACTGATTGCACCTCCTCTTTTACATAAATACCCTTTAACTACTATGTTCAAATATGTTTATGAGATTATAAGCGTAATAAATTAAATTTATAATATGATTAATCTCAACCCTATATTTTAAAAATCAATGGCCATGATTAGTTCATAAAGTTAACACAATAATTTGAATTAACAAATAAACTTGCCCCTATAAAACATAAGGGAATGATTCAAACGAGAACACCTTCATTTTACAAGAATGCGAGAACATTCTTTTACTATAGACAATCATATGTGATACTATTATTCCATCACATATGATACACATGTAATACTAAATCAGAGACGCGAACGATTTTCGATGCAATCTTGGTTGCAGGCCGAGTCGCCCTTACACTATTAAGCCCCCTCACAAGTATTATCACATGTGATAAGGGTGTTGTTGATATGATACTATAATCCATTAAGACCATCATATGTGATGCTAAAACATAGACGCAAACAACCTTTGGCGCGGCCTAAGTCGTAGAACACTTCGTCCACACATAACAGGGTCTCCTCACGCGTATTATCACATGTGATAAATATGTTCTCGCGTTCTCATAAAATAGAGGTGTTCTCGTTTGAACCTCCACCTAAAACATTATATATATATATACTAGAAGCGTATTCGCACAATGCAGCGAGGTACATCGTGATATTTTATTTTATTCTTTATCTCAATCGATGTTATAATATGACTTTATGTGATTTTTAGAAAGCGATGATGTTTTTATTTTTGAATAAAATATATGTTTGAAGATATCATAAAAATTTGACAAAAATATATCGATATTAGTATCAAATTAACTATCTGAAATTCCTCATTTTTTTGTGTAATTTTTTAATTCAATATTTTATAATTTAATTTATGTACAATAACGAAATAATTTATATTTGGTTTAATAATATAATTTTTTTAAAAAGATAATAATAATTTATTTTGTTGGAACTCGATAATTATTCTAATTATATTTTAGATTTTTTATATTTTAAAATGAGATGTTCATCCTCTATT